AGAAAAGGGGAGGGAGGGGGTCACTAGAGCACTGAAATCACTGAAGGGATCTTGTGTGAAAACTTTGTAAACATTTTAAGGTGTGTGAAGTTGTATTTCTCACCTCTTTTTTTTATATTATATGTGCTTTCATTTTGTAATTATTTTAATTATAGTGGTAGGGGAACTAACAAGATGTGGGAAATTCTTAGACAATTAAAACACTGTGGTTCATGGAACAATACTTCAATTTGGTAATACTGCTTCGCCTTCCTTCTATTATGGAGTTAAAATTTTTACTTTTTTAAGGAAATCTTTCTTAAACTTGAGGTTGGCTTTGATAGTACTTTTGTTAAAATAGAGGTGATCTGCAGAGAGCTCTCACAGAAGCACTTTTAAATGCTCGCTGTCATTTCTGCAGTGTCTTTAGAAATGTAATCGGACAGATGGATGTGCTGGATTGGCACTGTAAGTGTCTTTGCGCTGAGAATAGTATCAATAGCTATTAATAACTTTGAAAGTCTCTCCAGATAAATTAGTGAGTACCGACCTTATAGCTAAGGAATACATACGTTGTTAAACTGAAGATTTTCTAAGTATTTATTTTGAACCTAACATGAAGACAGGGAATTGCAATAATCATGTATTTTAGTGATGTATTATTTTCTCTAAAACTGATTTTAAAAGCAAAGATAATCACCACTGTAATGTTCAGGATTTCTCTAGGTGAATGTCAAAGTGACTCTGCTATGCATTTGTTTGCTTATTTTTCATGGGGAAGGAAAAAATTGTTCATAGGCTAAGTAAAATGCAGAAAAATTGAACCATCTAAAATCTTCTCTATCAGAAAGGAAACGCTGAACCATGTTTAACAGAAATGCTTACATATTAAAACAATTACTGTAGGTTTCTCAAAAGCTTATTGTGATTTTTAATACTAGAATACCATCATTGCAGCCTTACTTATTGAAATTCATCTTCACTTTCCAGCCATATTTTAGTATAGGTTAATTATGTCTTCTTTGGACATTGCCAGGCAGGATATTCAGTCCTTTTCACTGGTCCTGCTCTTCTGGCTTTGAATGAAGAAATCAAAGTGGTCTGTTTGTATTTCTTGTTAATTTCCCCACAAAAAGAATTACATCCTGCAAAGGTAGGTACCTCCGGACAATTTCAATTATTTATATATATATATATTTAAAATAATAATGAATATACGTACTTATAAATACATAAATGTAAGTTCTTCTGGGTTTTGTCTTTGCAAGGTGTAACTTCAGAATGTATATACACAAAATGACAGGAAAGCCTTGTGTATATACATATTTCCTACTATTTCCTTACATAACAGTTATTTTCTATCAAGAACATGTTAGTAGATGCCTTAGTCTAGGCTGGATTTGTTTTTGCTATAAAGTGCAGCCCTAAGTATTTGTTATAAAACTTTTCCCACCTTGCCAGAAGAGCACTGTGCTACAGGCTGTGCCACCACAGCAGACATTTTATTTGTGATCGAATTAGAATCTGGGTCTTGGGATTTGAAAGACAAACGCATTAATCCCCTGAAAGATTCAGTCAATCTCTGTCAATTCTAATCAGGTAAAGGCACTGGTCTTTTTGCTTCACAGCAGTTGGAGGGATTTCTTTTAATTCAGGGAGCTGGCCTTTTTATTTCAAGCTTATTTCATCTTTGAGGTGAAAATGTCCCTATTCTGTGTGAAATACTGCAGGATTTAATTCACTCGTATGTCCCGTTAAGCTCTCACAGTTCTCTGTAATTTGCAGAAATCTTTTGTGGTCATCAGCACCAGCTAGTAAGTAGGACACAAAATTATGCTGGTTTTGCTAAAACAGATTGGGGAATGGAAAGGAGGAAAGTGTTGAAGTAGCTTGGAGCATTTGTCACTTGAGCAATTGACTTAAGATAGTGAATTTATCTTTGAAAGAGACCATCTGAAAGGAAGTTTGGAGCAAGGGTCTGCATTTTACTGGTTTTTCTGTGTAGAACATGAACAAGCAGGCTTTCCAGGTAAACTGAAATGAAATTTGTTTTGTATAACCTTCTGTGCAATAAGAATGGAGTTGACTTACGATGCAACAAGTTACTTTGCATTATCCAGGAGAGATCCTGTGATGAAAAAGTTCAGGGATTAACGGTGTCATGTTTTCTGATGCCACAGTACTAGTTAAAAATAATCATATGCAGAACTCCTAGATGCCCTTAAAATAAACGTAAGGTGGTGTTTGTAGTTAGCCCAGGAGAATAGACTGCTCTACTGTTTTGGCCAGGATGTACTCCAGAACTGAATTGCCTACTGTGTTCCCTCTCACAGAAGCATTTTGTGTTTGTAATTACTTGTCCTAGGAGAGGTCAGGCCCCCAGAATGGCAATGTTAGATTCCCTGGGCAGTGTGTTACAAGATTTGTATCAGTAATATAAGTTTTTCCTGTAAATACTTCAAGACTTCTCTGAGATGTGGTGGCTCACTGTCCAAAAATCCCTTTGGAGAGGGAAAATAATAGGCTGAGACCATGGTATGGAAAAGTAATGGCAGCTTCTCAGGTGCTCTTACGTAGTTGTCAGAGTTAATGAAATATATCTCTTGGTTTTCTCCAGTGAGGTTCTTCAGTTTATAGTATTTGTGGAAACTAGGTGGAAGAATTGTTTACAATGCTGATGAGGTGTGAGGCAAAGCTTACTTTGAGCTGGGGTTTAGTGTAAGTTGTCTCTTTGTCTTTCCTTTCACCCTCTAGTGAATCCTCATTTTTCCATCTGGAAGTCCAGAAATCTTTGTCTCTTGACATAAAAAGAAATCTGGAACAGGTCATGGTTTCCTGCTTTCAGCAGTGGGTGGTAACATTCACCTCCTGGCTAAAATTCAAATCTTCCTCTTTCACATTTCTTTGTATTGCCACTTTAGTGTGTAAAATTATCATGGAACACTGTGTTAGAAAATAGAAGACAGATTCTCTAATGTGTCTTTTTCTCTTTATCCTCTTTATATTCCTTATTGCAAGAAACCTGGTGTGTCTCTTGCCTCACCTGCTCTTAACTCTGTACACTGCAGTGAAGGGAGATCTGGATTGGATTAAAGCAAGGCACTCATTGGCTATTCCCAGAGCTGTCTCTTAACTGACACCTGTTTTTTTTATTATTATTATTTTCTTTTGTTGTTGTTTTGGGTGGGGTTTTTTTGTGTGTGTTATTTTTTGTTTTAGATTCAGATTGGTAATCACTAAAAGCAAGAAGGAACTAAATTGTAAAGGATATAAGAGTGTAATAATTGCAATGCAGTAGTGATTTTGAATTTGCTGGGTGGTATTCTCTGTGGTTTCGGGAGCTTGATGAAAAGTTAAGTGGTGGCTGTCTTCTTTCACTCTGTTCAGGTCCTCTTTTTTTACACTCCTCCCTGTAGTCCTTGCCCTGTCTTGCCCTTGGCTCCTTTTGGTGGCTGTGGCCACACTGCTGAATCCCATCATTCTGGCAGCATCAGTGTCCTTTCTTGAAGTTTCCATGCATTAGGATGAATTTTCTCTTCTGGCATTAACAGCCATAATGGAACCAGTTAGGCTTTCCTTTCTGCTTTTCCGTTTCTTTTTAGGCCTCCTAGCATCTTGGAATGTGCAGCTCAATTATTATTAAATCATCTGGAAGTAAGAATAATCTGTGTTCTGCGTGCTCTCTTTCCCTAGATCACAGTACTTGTTGTTTATTAGAAATAGAGGGCCTCATGAAATTTCTTCCTAAAATTAGGTTCTAACAAAGGAAACAAGAAAGAGGTGTGGGAGAAGTAATGACAGCAGTGTTCTGTACTTACTTCATTTTCTTGATAAGAAGGGTTTTCTATCGTGCTGGGTCAGAAATTAATTTATGGTATAGGGATTTTTCATGGTCTTTGACTTACGGTTCTCTAAAAGAAACTTTTCCTCTAGGTAAATTTCTGGCAGCTGCATTTGTAAGTTTGCCCACACTTGACTGAAGGCATGTATTTGAGACGTTTGAGCTTCCCAAGGAGCCCTGTGATGTGATTTCCATGGGAACTGTAACTGGCCTAAGCATCTGGAAAATGATCCAGTTAGTATCATAGAGCTGTGCAGTATCTGAAGTTCTGATAGTTATGAAGTATTTCTTTTCATCTCTTGCTACAGCTTGATATTAGCCTTCAGGGCATGGGGGACGTGTGACACATGGGACAACACCGGCACTAAGTTAGGAGGTGTCACTGCAATCTCGCTTCCCTCCTCTAGCAGAGCTACCTTCTAATCCTTGATGGCACTGGTTCATCAGGCTAACGCTGCTTTTTTCATACTGATCTAGGACTTAATGCAGCATATTCTCAGCTCTGAAATGTGGTTAATGTAACTGGATCCTATGAGTGACTGAAGGAGACTGTAAATAAAACCTTTGTTTCCCACATGGCAGCACAGATTGACTAGAACCATCCCTTTAGAACTCTTTTATTTGTTGTTTTCTGGTAACACTGTTAGTATTCTGTCTGAAACATGAGACTGACCTACATCAAGTAGCAAAGGTTATCGTCATACAACCTGTATAAACATTATAGGAGACTTTCTAGTGCCTAATTTTAAACTAATAAAAGCTACTGGGTTTATCAGTATTTTGCCAAATTTGTGTATCTTTCATTTGCAGTGATGATGAATATTTGATTATACTGCCACTGGAGTCATTATTCATCATAAGAAAAATTCGTTTGGGGCATTAGTGGGTTGATTTGTGTTTGGGCTCATGTGATTCTGTTTGCTTTATTGTTTTGATTTGTAGAACTTGACAACAAAGCTTGAATGACAATGAATCTCTCTGTGAGGTAATGTGATATAGTGGTGTTTTTCCTAAAAAACTATTTTCTTTAACCTTCCTAGAAAGGTTCTACTATAGGTTCTACTATCTGATGCAGTTATTCCAGGAGAAAATAATATTTAACAAATTCAATGCTTAAAGTGATGACGGAATATGTTTTACACAGACCTTGCTGACTCCTTCTGTTTGCTTCATCCCCCAGACAAACGTGTTGATGACTGGCCCTTGATGCAGTCTCCATTTCCAACACTGACTATAAGCACTATTTATCTCCTCACTGTCTGGCTGGGCCCCAAATGGATGAAGACAAGAGAGCCCTTCCAGCTACGCTTCCTGCTGGTTGTTTACAACTTTGGGATGGTTCTGCTCAACTTCTTCATTTTCAAAGAGGTGTGTATGCCCTCTTGCCAGAGGGAATTCTTACTGAGGTTTGAGGATGTCAAAATGAAAATGATGTTGCATATTCTTGATGTCTGTTGAGAGTGGATGTTTTGCACAGACTTTTAAAGATGAGTTTGCCTTTGAGGTGAGTATTTCTATAGATAGGGAGTTTGTGTTTTTAGAATAATTGCACTAAATGAGTCCTATAGAGAGAATTTGTGTTTGAGGTATTCCAAGTTCGTCTTAGATTTATGTTAATCTAAATACTGGAGAGACTAAAATCTGTAAATTTAACACCTGTTAAATACTTTTTTTTTTATCTTAATAATCCTAAAGGGTACCAGAATGTATCTTGTTAGAAATTGAACTGTTTACATTTTAATGTGTTTATAATATTTAGAAATTCAGATGTCCGTTGTCTGTAGTAAGGAAAAGTATCTTGTCTGGAAGTTAGCTTTAAGAATAAAAATGAAGTGAACTATACCTTTAAATAAAAATAAAAGGATACAGACTTCTAATATTTGGGTTGCAATGTTCTGAGTGTGTTACTTGTAATAAATTTCAGTGTTGCTGCATTTTTCCTTTGTTGGATTTTCTGGACAGAGGGAATGAATAGTAACACTGCAGTGGAACAGCTGTGTAGCAGTAGCTAACTGGGATTACTTAACAGTTTGGTAATTATTATTCAAGGATAGCTGTATAGAATATGGCTGATGCTAAGTTTATGATGCTGTGACTGCTCATGGAGATCAGGAGTTGTCTTCCTGGAAGACCTCTGATCATAGATTTTCAAAATCTGTTTCCAGAAGTAAGCAAATGAACAGAGCAGTTAAAATTACAGTATTGCAGAACTGTCTGGTCTGTTCTGTATTTTTGCCAGGAAAAAATTGCCTATCTGATGATGATCTGCATTTTGACCCTTTCCCAGAGCTCCTAGCATAAAATCTTTAATCATAAAATGATTACAGCCTCTCTTTAAGACATGGCTTAGTAAAATTTAACCATCACACCTTAGTCATCATTTTGTCTAAACTGTTTTCTTGGACTATTCAACTAAGTAGTGTGACAGGTACAAAAGAATTTAATGCTGACATGAAAGCATAGTTGAAGGAAGAGATTAAATCCAATCATCTTGGCAAGCTAAAACTGAAACTCCTGAAATTAGTTCTGCAGTGTTACTGCAATGCCTGGCTTTTTCACATACTCTTTTAAACTTGTTTGTTTCATCCATAAGCTGAATTATACCAAACTTGCAGTCAAATAATTTTCAGACCTATGTTCTTTATAGGATATGTGTTTGTAGCATTTCCAAGTTAGTGAATTAACGTAGAACTGGGTGGGACTGCAAATACGTATTTGTTGTTGATATGCTGAAAGCTCATAACTTTATACACAGAGGTTTTAGTTTCCTCCTTTTGCCTAGTAGTAGGTTGTTATTCAGTGGATGTTGAGGCAATGGATACAGCACTTCCAGCAAGTGTCTTTTCTTGATTGTAGAGACTGATAGCAGGAAGGTGTTCAAGTTTCAGTGGTTCCCTGTAACAAGGCAATTTCTGCTTCCAAAGTTTACAATGCCACTGTGCCACTATTGTAATCACACGAGTTTTAATGTTATTGTTATTACTAAAATGATACTGCTTGTATTTTGTGAGTGATTGTAAAGTTTCCAGACATTGCTAAGAACAGAATTTGAATGTGAAATGCCATTAAAAGTTATTTAAATAACCATCCTCATGGCAAGCTCTTTTGTTCATCTGTGGCAGCTTATGTTAAATATAAGTCATAAAGCACAGTGCTGAATATGCTCATATGCTCAATTCAAATTCAGATCCAAATTTGGAGCAAAGTTTGCTTAGACTATACAGAAGTCACAATGAAATAGACCCTATTTTGTTACAGAATCATGAATTTCTTATTCTACTTCAGGGCAGTCAATGGGTGAAGTCAATTTACTGCCTTTTAGCAAGGGAACCTTGGTTGAGTGATCCAGTAGGTCACAGTAGAGATGGGTTGGTTTCTGTAACAGTGCAATTTAAACTTTCCCTGCTCTTCTCTGTTAGTCCTGGATGTGCTTGTGCCCATATGGGACCACACTGGAGTTCCAGTTAGTTACAGTAGTTTGTAAATGGACTTAGATGATGCAGAAGTAGTTCAGTTTCTTTCCTAAAATAATTTTTGTGGACAGTTCTTTCATTTACCTCCTTTAACACACGTGCAGCAAACAAGTCCAGAGGTTCACAAGGTTTTATATGTTGTAAATAATACGGTAGTCAGTTAGTGGTAAGAGTAGTCAGTGCCTGTCCGTGACAGGTTTTATGAAATCTTTTTCTGTCACCCCAATTTATGTCTGCTCCACTGCTCTCTCTTTGATCCTTAATAGAGGGATTACTTGGCTTTAAAAGTTCTTGGATCATAACATTTATGAATGCCAAGATAAGTGTTACTTGAGCTTTGTACAACTCTAGACAAGTGTACTTCTTTCCAATGGGAACTTGTTCAAATGTCAATTTTATCTTCTCCTGTCCAGGTTTTTGCAACGTGCTTAGTTTGGAAAGGCCCTACAGAAGCATTTCAATTGCATTAGGCCATTTTTGTTGGCGCAAAATGGGGAACTTTTCTCCATCCTTTTCCTCTCACTGTGTTTAGTGGGTATTCAGCTTTGGCTGTTCAAAGTGAGCAGGGGAGGTTCTGGATTTTGATTGTTATACTGTGCTAAGAATTGTAGATCCAAGTTATCCAATCCCTGTCTCTTGAACAGTGTTCTCTTGAATCCATACTGGGAATAGCATTTCTGTCAATTGTAGTGAAAGCAATTAGGTATTTTCTGATTCTGAAGCTAGAGCCATCAGAAAGAATATCAGTGTCCACATAGCTTAAGGTCATTCTGGAATTTGTTCTACAAGACTCTAATTATCTGGGCAGATACATGCAGGGAAAAATTAGTACTTTCTTTTGAATTTATAAGAAAAAAATAAGTAGTCTGTAACGATAGGTTGTTAGTACTAAATATTGGCTTTCTTAATAGTATTCTCGGAACTAAGAAGAATAATTTAAGTATTTCTGTTCAGTTAAGTTTAATGTAGCAAGAAATTTGCTGATAGTTGTTATAAATATGCTTTATGTATTCTATTTCCCCTCATGTATGACTTTAATATTTTCAGTTGTTCTTGTCATCAAGAGCTCGAGGGTACAGCTATGTCTGCCAGACTGTGGATTATTCAGATAATGTTTATGAAGTTAGGGTGAGTATTGCTTTTTTGTATTTTTATATGAATGTGTGTAATGTATAGCGCTACATGATGGTTTAAGCCTTTTTTGAAAACAGTGTTTCCACAGCTGCTGTCAGCAGTGGCTGTGTCCCATTACATCCTCACAGGCCACTTCAGGTTTGACTACATCATACGTAGCAGGTTTAATCAAAGTGCATCAGCATATTTGTGCTAACTTGCATCTGACTGCTGCAAGTAAGGGGAGTCTTAAAGATACCATCCTTGGCTTCATCCACAGTTGTACCATCCAGGGTAAACTTTGTGTACATCCTTTGCTTCCTGGATTTGCTGAAGTTTGGGATGCCGGGGTAACCGCAGTAAAGGTGGTGTGTCCTAGCTAGATCAAAGCAAGTGAGATTTGTCATCTTATCTTGTGGTTGCACTTCACCCATACTGGTGAGGCAACTCTTTGTCTCCTTTTCCCGTGTTTGGCTTTAAGAGGTCTCGCTGGCATTTGGCAAATGTATTATCAGTACATTTCATTTTATAATCTTAGATTTCGAATATCTGGGTTTTGGAAAACATCCAAATTAAAAGCAAATTGCAGTTCCTTGTTCATTTTCATAATGCTGTTGATTAGCACACACACTAAACCTTATCTTCCAGCAGAGCTGACATTAGAGAATCTCTCAGCTGTTCTTGCAGGTTTCGTGTACAGATTAGGACATGTTCCTGAAAATGCAGTGAAAATGTGTTATGTTTATGGTAGTTTGAAAAATGTTTGTCTGTGAGGTGGCTGTTCATGGGCAGTGTTAGTCAGAAGCTTTGCACGTGGCAGGGGTGGTAGTGAGAACAGGAGGTTCAAGTCTTACACCTTGTTTGTAATGGCTGATATTGCAGAACAGCTCTGCGTGTAGATTTTTATTGGCCTTATTGCAGCTGCCAATCTTTCACTTTTGCCAATACAGTGCTCTCACTATGTCAGTCACTAGAATGATTCTGTTAAAAATTTTATGGAAAAACAAGATCTAGCAGAGTACAGCAAGTGCTTGACAGGTTTGGGGTTTTTAATAGAGAAGCAAAATAGAATGCCCTTGTACTTAGCTGAATGCCATTGAGGACTGGTGTGTAATATATTGGAAGAATTTTTATATTAGCTACATACAAGCAGTACTCTGTTCCATAGCCTGACTTTTGGGTGCTCCCGCTTTGTTTGTGGGAGACAGTGGAGAGGTCAGACCTGCTCAAAAGAATTATCATCCATTTTGTTTGTTATGATGAGGACAGCATTATTATACAATGAAATAAAGGCAAAATGACCTGAAGAATGTATTTGTACTATATAATATGGACAGATAGGAAGGATTGCTCTAGCAATATATACTTTTTTACCTTCCTGAGTTTTTTTCTTATTTTTTTAAATTTTATAAAATTATTTCCCAGATTTGTGGATTTGCGTAAAACTTATCCCTGAAGTTGAAGTTGCAGCATGTTCAGTTTGCAGCTGAGGGAGTTGAGGAAGGAGTGAAAATGGAGTCCTCTCAAGTTGCTGCAGCAAGTGTATAGTGTTTTATCAGTCAAGATTCTTATCTTGATCATTTTCTGGTAGTTCTTTTTGAATGAATTCTCAGTTTAGGAAATAAGTTGCAAGTAGAAAATTTTACTTTCCACAAGTGTGCTTTGTCAAACTGGAATGGAGGATTCTGGGATAGATTTCTGTCCTGCTTTGCAGTATGTCATGCTCTGGATTTAGAAGGTATGCTGTTTTTTGACACTGTCACAGACCAAAAAAAAAACCAAAAGCCAACCCAATCCAAACCTCCTCCAGATTTTGTTCATCATCGTCTTTTTACAATACAAACCTGCAAAAGCAATTTTAAAATGTTTTTGCATTTTTGAGTATAGAATTGATAAATATTTTAGCACATCTCTCATGTCCTTTTAATAGATCTAGATACTAAATGTCTAGCATTTATTGGCACCAGGTTTGTTCTGCAGAGAAATGCTGCACTGCAACAGTAGAATCAATTACAAATGCAATGACCATATTTGCAAGGGAATGAGTAAATAAATCCTGTGTTGCTCAATTAAAGAAGACTGGGACTAGTTCACATGGAAACAGCACTGAGCCCAGAAGGCATTATGGAACATGCTCTGAAGAACAGAGCTTCATATATAACTTTAATTTGGGGCTTTGAAATTTGGAACAAATGTTGAGAAACGTGAAATTAATGGTATATAGTGGTCTAAATGGCAACATAGGAGCCTTGGTAGGGGCCCTGTTTCTGGCTTTTTGGGAATATGCCGCTGTGATGTTGCCATCACATTGAGTGGCCTCTTTTGTGTAAAGCTCTTTATCAAAATAAGGGGTCAAAAAACCATCCTTTGTCATTCAAGAGACTACAGAGAGCTCCTAGAAAACTGTTACCAAAAAAAAAAAAAAAAAAAAAAAAAAAGGCCCAAAAAAAATTTTCAAAAAAAAAAAAAAAAAAAAAAAAAAGTTTGGCTATCCTGGATACCAGAGAATGTCCTTTTCTGCCTTTCCAACTCACATCATGTATCAAGACAGTAAGCCAGTGATTGTAAGGGAGTAAAGTCAGGGCATGTGGTGGCACTTTCCCTGTACAGTTTAGCAACTCAGCAACCTGTGGCTCAGAGACCTCTTAAGTCAGACACAGCCTCTTTGGTTTTGCCAGTTTTTAAGGGGATATTTTTCCATGTATATTTTCTTCAACTCTTTCGGTCTTCTCGCTTTCGCTGGTGGTTAATTGTGTAGGTAGTTTACACAAAATGTGAAGAAGCTGGTTCTCCTGCTTACTGTTTTGAACCTACCTACACATGTTAGTCTCATTCAGGCTTCCCTGACTGTTCTACAAGAAACAATGGACAACTGGAGCAAGCAGGGATGAAAATTAAATTCCCCAGGTGCCGAAACATTTGCTGAAATAAACTCCTTTGTGAATGACTTATCTGTTGAATAGTAGTAGTAGGCAGCCACTGTACTGACTGCTGGCAGAAAGTTGAGTGGTTTTGTTATTAAAAAAAAAAATTGTTCGTAGTAAACAGGAAAGAAAAGGGGGTAGAAAATCTCTAAGAAAGTATTTAGAGGAATCTACAGATGTAACATGCAAAAACTTTTTTGGTTATAGCTTAAGAGTCAAAATAATAAATGCAAAGGGCGGAGATATTAAATCCATGCTTGGTAGTACTCCTTTGGGAGCTTCAGTATTTGAAGTGAATGATTTCATAACACTGTCTAACTTAATGTATGCTGGTGTGTGTCAGTAGTCATTTCCCCCCTCTGCTTATGTTTGTGTGTCCTTGTTTACCAGGTCAAAGTTCATCTATTTAATTAGCATTTCTAAATAATTTGGAATATGGGGCTGTGTGAATTGGTTCTTATTTTAAGTGTGCTGATTGTAATTATGGAGCCAAACAATGGTTGTTTTCTGTATTGTAATTGTAATCTGCATTGTTAGTATTTATGTCTAGAGCTTGAATGGTTTCCTCTTATGAAATAGACATAATATACTTTAAAATTCAGTAAACTTGACTTCACAAGTTCTGTAAACAAAATTCTATAAATGAAAATTCAGTATAAAAAAGTTATTTTAATTTTCACATTGCTGTGACCTTCCAAGAAGTACCTGTCCCTTCACACCCCTTAATGGATAAATGTCTCCAACCCGAAATGAGGGAAAATGCTGCAGAAACAGAGTCCTGTAATAAAACAGCCCTCCAGTCAAAAACCCTGGTGCAGGCAGAGGACATGGGATTGGACCTCTTGTTGACCCCCTTAATCCTAGGCTGTAATGTAATCTTTCTGTGCCATCTGGTGTTTAACAGACTTAGATTGGTACATATGAAAATTACCAGAAAATATATAGTTGTGACTAGTATTGTTCATAACAAGGATGTGCCTTTTTGATGCATGTTTCCTTTTCTTTTCAACTAAATCTTTCTTGCATGCAGTGTCCAAAGGCTAAAGCTTAGGTCATGATTTTTGATGCTTTGCAAAAGAAATTTATTAGTAGCCATCTGCTCCTGACATAGATTACATATCAGTGTATTGTTTTCTGTTTCTGCCCTTTTTCACTGATTTTATGCATGGCCTCAGGCAAATGACTTGACATTTGTTTCATTTTTTTCTATAAGCTAATGATGAAAACATCTGTAGAAGTCACTGGAAGTACTGAAATAGATCATCAGTACAAAAAACCTGTCAGGTTTGAGAGTAAATGGTAGAAAGTTTGATGATAGTAAGGGAGTAAAGAAGCTGACAGGCAAAAAAATCTACAGGAACACAAAATCAGCAGGTATAATCCTTCAAAGAGTCCTGTTATTTTTTTTAAATGATGGGAAGCATTTTTGTCTAAAGTTCAGATTATTTTTACCCATGAAGTGTAATTGCTTTCTCTGCTAGGTGCAGTTCAAAAGAAGAGCAATGAGATGTGTTATGTGACTTGTCCAAGAAGAAATACTGAACTTGTGGCACTTTGGGTATAAGGCAGAAGTATTTTTGTAGGATTTTTAGATTTTGCTCTGTGTTAGAGTAAATTGGCTATTTTGCCTATTGGCTATTTGTCTTTTGGTTCCCTTGTTTAATTAACAAAAATGCCCATTTACTTTATAAAAGATTTTATGGCAGTTTGCTTGTGACTGACCTCCTGGTTCTCTAAAAGTTTCTTTGAAAGGAAGGCCTCCAAAGAGCAGTGCTGGATTGTCTTCTTATGGCTATACAGTCCAAAGTGTTTATTTTTGACTTATGAAATAAAAAGATGCTTATCTTAATTTATGTAAGAGATGCAACTTTAGCAAAGACCTGTAAGAGATGCTGGACTGTTATGCTAAGCCATTGGGTGTGAGACAAACCTTGATGTGGGTGTTATTAAATACCTGACTACCTGTCCCAGAGGCAGTGCTGGATAATGAGCAATATATACATATATATATATATGTATGTATAAATGATTCTTGCAGCTTGCCTGTGTGTCTGGGAACTCCAAGATCTGTGGGAGTCACTTTTCTGTCATTAAGCCTCTCTTCAGCTTTAGATATTAATATCACTTCACATAAAAGTGAAAAAATCTGCCTCCTCTTCCCAAGTCTTGAAGTGGGCTAAATCACATCCAGAGAGAGAGAGGGGTGTTCATTAATGGATACATAGAAGGCTGCAGTTTGGCATCAGTAAGATGTGCAGTCCCTCTGGGAAGCTGCAGAGCCTGCAATGCAGATATGCAGCATTCTTCTCCTATGCTGCATTTTTGCTGCTGCTGTAATTTCTCCTAAACTGTTCATCAGACCAATTATGGCTATGACAAACTCAGTCTGTGGAGAGATGTTCTTCTTTCCCACTGGTTTGGAGAGGTGGAGGAAAACACCATGCAGGGGTATAGCATTGCTTTCTACAGCTCTTTATGATTCCCCTTTATCTCACCTAAAACTATGTGTGTGGTTGGGAATGGAAGCTGCTCTGTGTTAACTCTTTTTTCTTTTGTCTTCCCTGTGGACTGAGGGGGTGGTGAGGTTATTTCACAGCATATTAAGTTAAGAAAGTCTGGTTTACCATCCACTGAGTCCTGAAAGACAAGGCCAACTTCTTACAAATAGTGTGTTGTGACATTGCCTCCTCTCCTTGCTGGTGGTACCAATTCCAACTCTTTTTTTTTTTTCCCTCTTCACTCTCTGTGTGAGTCACCATCTGGTCCCACCCTTGCATAACAAGCTGGATGACTTACAATGCCAAAACTAGACTTGTTGCTATGTTTTGGGATCTGGGAGGGAGTCCCTACCATCACCATACTCCCATATCATAGCATTAGCATATTGCTACACAGAGCTTCTGGGCTTTACTTGCTTTGACAATATCCTAATTTCAGCAGGAAGCCCTGTTTATGTTGCATCCTGGGCAAGATGCGCTGTGATGGGTGGATGAGAAAAAGAATTTTGGGTGTGTAGCACTTCCCTGTTGGGTAGATGGATGATACCTGTTCAGTTTGTATGGCTGCTGTGGTCTCTTTTTTTCTACTCCCTGAATAGCAGAGAGCCACAGGGGAATTCACAGAGGGAGTTACGGAGCAGGCCAGGAGAAGCTGAGGGAATATTGCTATAAGGAATGTGAAATCTGTACCGCATCTAACTTTTTTTGATACCTTTCCACCCATATGCCTGTGGTACTAAAGGTTTCACCTTTGCAACTTCATTTTATCATTGTGTTTCTGCCTCATTGTTCTGACCACATCAAAGTGTTTCCTCATTAGAGGGGGAAGCCCTGTGGCAGACTTCTTCTGCAAAGCTGAGGAGAGAATGAGGACACAAACTTCCCGTGCTTAACTGGTAAACTGTTCAGATATGGCAAAGCTTTTAACTATATCAGCTCTTTTTTACAGATGTGCTTTGTGAGCAACAGGCTCTGAATAATCTTCTTCCATAATCTTCTTCCATGTCCAGAATAGATGAAAAGAGTGGTTTTTGTTGTTCTCATACTGTCAGATGTTTGACTCCACCTCACCATTTAAACAAGATTTAGGGAAGGAAGCAGTATCCTTCTCTTACAGTAGCTAGATGGTGAGAACTTTATTCCATTCAGCTTGGAATCACTAAAATTTACATAGTCTCTGTTTTTCATTGCAGATAGCTGCTGCTTTATGGTGGTATTATGTCTCTAAAGGAATTGAATATTTGGATACAGTATTCTTCATCCTGAGGAAGAAATTTAACCAAATTAGTTTCCTCCATGTCTATCACCATTTCACCATGTTCACCTTGTGGTGGATTGGTATTAAGTGGGTTGCAGGTGGACAAGGTGAGTTCCCTTCCTCTCATATGCTTTTGATTGGGCAGAAGGGAGAATTATTATTGTTTGGGAGCAATAGAAGAAAATTTTATAGATTTAAAAATACACAAAACTGTTTATTAATGCATACAGTCTCCTTCTGTGGGAAACATGGGGGAGGAGAAGATAGCAGAGCAATAATCTAATGAATTGCAAAACTTCTTTTCTCTTCCTCATGGGCATCAATTGCAAGCCTGAAGATCTGCCTTCGAAAGTATCTGTATCTGTGTGAAACAGAAAGATGTATGCATCTTGCTTAACTTCAATTTTTGCAGATACAGAGAGCTGCAAAATCTAATTGTGGGTCACATTCTGTGTGCAAATTTAATGAAGTCAATGGAGATATTTTTTTGGCATTGTATATGAGTTTGAGGTTTGCTTTTATTTTTATTAAGAGGCACGTATAAAATTCTGAAACCTTCCCTTGGAGGTGAGCCAGTAAATCTGTCAATTCACTTTCAAAACCTATTCACAATGACACAAGTCTAAATTCATTATCAGCCTTTTTTTTCCCTTGCTTCTTTTCTGAAACCTCCATCAAATAATTTTATATTTTTGTTTATTGCACTTGCCACACCCTTCATTGCCTACATTATACTCTTGTTCCTGTTGTTTAGCCTTGTCTCAAATTGAAAGCTCTGCAGAGCTGAGGGTACAGGAAAAATGCCCTGTTTCCTTTGATGTGTGCTTTGTAGGCTAGCAACACTGAAAATAGCATATAGTAAACACAAAATACCATATTATGAATATAAAACTAATATTTTGGGTTTGGTGTTTTGTTTTTGGTTGTTTTGAACCACACTAGCACTTAATGCATGGGTGGTTTATGCTCCCATTTACTATAGGTATTTAGTAGTGAATGGCCACTTAGATTGCAAGGAAGAAATACGTAAATTTAGTGTCTCTGACTAACTTTTCATTTCCCTCATGTAATATGCAGGAAGCAGGTACTCAGCCAGATGTTTCATGATCTTTATTTGCAACTGCACCTATAAAATGAGATTATTGGAGACAGGATGGTTACTTGTAGTCTTGCTTAGAAATTCCCTGGATATCTCAAAAGGCCCACTCCCTTGTTGCCTTTTCAGAATTTTCATGCAAAATATCTGCGGTTTTTAATACAACAGTTGCAACTATTTCTAAATTTCTTTCAAGTTTTGGTGTTCTAGCACTGCCTCTTAGTTTCTAGAACCTGCAAAAGGAAAAGCAGCAGTTGCTTTTCTGCATTTATGTAGCACCACTGCATAAATGTGGATAGATCTGTGCTCTTCTATTTTCTAGTTGGCAGCACATTGCTTACATAGACAGTTCTATTATAAACTAGACCCTATTACAACAACTGGGTCCAGACCACTCGGGCATCTGAGCTGTTTGATGTCAGCAGCTGTTGTCTGTATTGCCCTAATCTTATACATTAGAGCATTTTTGAGCCTCTCTGTCAGTCTAAGAACACCTTAACAAGATATAATGTGTTTCTGTTAAATGGCTGCTAATCTTGACAAAGCAAAGAGATCTTAGTGCAAATGAAACTGTCAATGTGCATCTAACGTGGATCATGCTGGAAAATGTTATGGTACACACTGACATATTTAAGAAAGTTGGATATTTTAAATCATAAATAAACTAAAGATTATTAATTTAGACAAATGCATCTCGCAATGCCTTAAAGTTCTTAAAAAACATGAGTGAAGACTTGCTTTGTTTGAACATTTTTGGCCTATTTAATCAGATTTCCATGTGAGTTTCTTGACTTCTTGCTGAGAAGTGAACCTTTTGCATTTAAATACAGTTTAAAAGATTTAAAATTCAGAACCTGGTACTTTATACTTTACATTGTCAAATAAAGCTTTTAATAATCCTTTAGAAAAACAGTTGCAGTTACACTACAACAACTAATGTGGAATAGATGTCATTTATGTTTGTTCAACAGAAATCTTACGAAAAGCTTTGTCATAAGTAGTCACATTAAAGATGTGACGTGCTACTTGCATTAACATCTGTTTTTGTCAGCACATGTTGACAGCCAGGTCTGTATTGTACTATTCAGTATTTTGGAGATGGAATCCTGACATGTCCTGTGCTTTGTAATTTTTACTATTAAAAATAATTATACGAGTAATACTAGAAAAGAATCCTCTTTTCCAAAATTACATGATGGTCTTCCCTTCTGTTCCTGGACAGCTTTTTTCGGAGCTCAAATGAATGCATTTATTCATGTCATTATGTACATGTATTATGGATTGGCAGCTTGTGGCCCTAAATTTCAGAAATACCTGTGGTGGAAACGATATTTGACCATATTGCAATTGGTAAGTAATTCCCCTCCTTTTGGGATAAAAGGTGTTGCCTCTTCATGGATTTGCATTTGCAGAGCTTTGGATCAGATGCTGCTCCTTCCAAAAGTTCTCTGCCTGACACTCCTCAATTAGAGTACTTCCTGGAGATGGAAGCATTTATTCAGCTTTGAAAAAACATATGCAACATATATAAGAGTTGTGTGAGTTAAAGTCTAATGCTTCCTTGATGGTTGTTTCAGCTGAGTAACAAAAGCACGTTCAAAATGTAGACAATATTCAGATTGATTATTATCTTCTCATTGTCCTGCTTCTGAAAACTGATGCCAATACTGCAATAAATGTGATGCTCCTGGTCAAGCATGGATGTGCTTGCGTGAGTGTGACAGCCAAATACAGCTTCCCTACCACCTCCCAATTCAGCTGTTTTCATTACTTAATGATGCACTCAGACCTACAGAATATATCCAGATGTTTTTGATTCTCTATTTTCTGTCTTTCAGGTGCAGTTCCATGTGACTATTGGCCACACAGCCATGTCTATTTATATTGATTGTCCTTTCCCTAAATGGATGCACTGGGGTGTCATTTTCTATGCTGTCACCTTCATTTTCCTGTTTGGTAACTTCTACTATCGGACATATAAGCTGCCCAAGGAACCTGTAAAGAATGGCAAAATAGCAAATGGTGCTGTTGCAAATGGAGTAAGCAAACCAGAAAATAATGCGGTGGTGGAAAATGGAAAAAAGCAGAAAAAGGGAAAAGCAAAAGGAGAGTAACTTGATCCAGGCCTTAACCATTGTTGGCAGTGAGGAACCTCCAGTTTGGTTTATAAAAGGAAGAAAAAAACACTATCTGTACCAATTAACCTTAGGTTACTGAAGAGCTAGAACACAGATATTTTCATTATTTATGAAGATTGTTTTAAGAACAACACTAAAGTTGAATTTCTATTGTAATTATGTAATTATCATGCATATGGTCTCTGTGTAAACTTGTAGACTGCTGGTGTTGGTGAATGTAAGGAAGAATTGCAGTTGATTCCATGTTTAGCAGTCCAAAAGTTAATACTACCATTGATACAGGCAGATTTGTTGGCACCCACATTTCTTGGGGGGTGGGGGGGGAGGGAAAGGAAGTAGCATTTGAATACTTGTGCTTTCTTTCCAGAAAATTATTAAATTTCAAATTATGACGTATTATCTAATCAGAATGTGCAACTTTTCTTCTCCTCCTTGGAGAGTACCTTCAGACAAAATATGTGCTGTCAGAACAGTGTTTGACTTTTCAGACATTACTTGATTTAATTGAGAATCTGTTACAGTTTGGTTTTTGTTTTATTATTTTTTCTTGTGTGGAAATATACCTACCTCTTCATCTGCTGAAAAGAATATTGAGCATTAAATAACTGGTTTCTGAAATATGGAGTCCTCTAATCTAAATATCCGTTAGTACTAACTCAGGAGAACGTGTGTTTCTCTGTGGGAGTAAAAGGGATTTTTGGTGGTATCCTTTGATCAAGTCATCATTTTAATGAAAACTGAAATTTTGGAGTGGTACTTTTAGTAGAGCCAAGTCGAGTACATTTAAGAATGTGTAAATGTGAACAAATATATTGGTTGAAGCAAGCAAGCAGTAAAAATAGGCCTGCTGCTTGTTGTCTGTGACCTGCATTAAATCTGTGGCAAGGTAATGCTGTGGTGGAGAGGAAACAGCATGTAATTCCATTTAGAAATGTTGTGTGCATGGGTAGTCGTGCTAAATACAAGACCAACCATCACTTTATTGGGAGAGAGAATTCGGTTTATTGGGAGAGAGAATAAAGCAAACATAAAACCTTGAAAACGTTTCTATTGCTCGATACCTGTCAAAACTCTATTTGTTAGACACTTGCAGACAAAGTATTGCTGATAGACAGGCCACCATTGTAAGTCAAAACTGCTAAAATAAGTACAAACTTTTAGATAGATTTTCATTACATAAAGGACTTCTTACCATTCCTTTTGTGAAGAAAATAGGGAAAGATTTATACACCTTCTGAATAATGTGGTTACTAAGAGATACATTTTGAGCTGCTTAGCATGCAATGAGTAGAAGATGGGTGGAATTAGAAACTATATCCTGAATTACTGTGTTCCTTGACCATCACTGCAAGAGCTGCATTGTTACTGTCCAAATGCATTCCCCCCCAAGCTCTGGTCAAAAACATATCCAGAGGTAGCAACAAACATATATCTGGCAAGTGGCACCATTGGTGCAGAAAGAGTACAGGGAACTGTGAGTATAAAGTGAGTGACACGTTAATAGATTTTTGTATCTCAGTCGTCCATTGACTGTTTATAATATGCAAGCAGGTTACATATTCTGTGTCTCAGGCTTGTCTTGTTTCTATTTTAAAAAAATCTAAACCCAGAAAACAGGTCCTAGGAAAAAGAGTTTTGGATATAGTCTGTTGTGCTAAAAAATAATTCCTAATGCTGGAGTTGGTTCAGCTGGAAGGTGGTTCATCCCTAAGGTGGTTCATCCCTAATCACCACCACTGTGGATTTTTGGGCAGAATGTAGAATTGTGAAAAGCTGTCTTTGCTGAACTCAAATGCATGTGACCATTAAGTTTCTTATCTGCTGTGTCTTCTGATTCTTCCAGCCTTTGTAATGATGCTTTTTGCATTTGCATAACTGCGTATTTGCATGGTGTGGCATGGGGAAGAGGGACAGTGATTTACCCTTCCTTCTTGGACAAATGCCACTACCCTTAACCAAGCCAAAATGCTGGCTGACTCAGTAACTTTGGAATAGCTAAAGTAGTAAATAACTACAGAGCAGATTTACAGCACACCTGCTTCTCCAAGGTAGTGACTGGTGTGAGTGCAGTTACCCTGCTGTAATTTCAAGGTTGTTTACCCCACTTTGATTAAAGGGTAGCTTCTTTCTATTTGCCATGGGATGTGGGCAGCTAACTTCTAAATCTGTGTCATTCCTTGAATTGGGTTAGATTGGTTGTTTGCTCTGTCATTCATTCAATAAGCCAGATCAGCTAAACTGATACTCTTAATGTGATCTAGCTCTGAAACAGCATACTGGGGAGTATTCCAGTACAGGTTCAATGGTGTCTTTGCTACACTTTCTGACTTAAGAATTATGTCTTGCATGATGGTAAATATTTAAATAACTGAAAGTCAAAATTTTTTGCTCCCTCATCATGCATGGAAGTGGATTAAAATTGATTGCAACTTGAACATTGTTATGACAGAACTTGAGTAGAAGTCTACTATCAAATTCTGGGGTAATTGTTAAATTCTAAAAAAAACCATGAAAAACTCATTGTGAGAATGCATGTGTACATACACATCATGTTGCCTGGCCCTGTGCATAAAACCAGTTTGAGAGATTGCCATTTCATGGGGGAAAAAACCCCAGTTATTAAATTACTGGAACACTGCAGTTTTGAGTACATCTTTTTCAGTATGACTGTCCTAGGTCTATTTATGATATATTTGATTGTTCATGTAATTCAAGTCCCATTACAATTTTGAATATAATGGCCTTATTAAATGTGCATTTTTGTAGGCATGGTCTTGAGTGCAATATTTCTGTTTCTGACTATGCAGCCAGACTCAGAGAATACAGGGCTCAACTTGTACAGCTTTTTGTTTTTCAAAATATAGGCAATAATGCACATGTGAAATGCTGACAGATTCATTAGAGTCATCTTTGAATCTAACGAAGTTTAAAATGTTGCTGTGAAAATATGTATAAATATGTGTATTTTCTATATGCACAGTACTGAAATTCAAATTATACAATCTTTTGCAGTACAATTATTCTTTATAGGGTTATTGGGGTTTTGTTCTTCTAAATCCTTTCAATTTATTGAAAAATTAAATTCAAACCATTTGAAACTTCTCTTTTTTTGCCAACATATGATAATTTTTTGCTAAGAGTTCTGAAGCTCTTGGACCAGAGTCTCTAAATATTTGATGCCATATAAGTAATACCATTTCATTTAGCCTCATCTCTAGCAGTGACAGTTGTTGGATTATTTTAGCACTTTTTCAGTGTAAAATTAAATACAAATTATCTATACATGTGTGTATATATGTGTACACATACATGTGTATGTGTGTGTGTATGTATGTATGGGTTCTTAGCAGATTCTTTCAGTATGTGAAGTAAACTATATTTCTTGAATGTGAATTGGCAGGAGCTAATAGAATGATTCCTACAGCTCCAGCAGGAAAATGAAGCAGTTTTCCTTCCACAGATCCAATATCAGTCTTGCAAACATAAATAGTATTTGTCAGTTATTTTAGATATAGGATGGCAGAAAAGACAGAGCTGTTTCTACCAGTGTAATAAATATTTTGAGGCATCAGTTGTAGATTCTAAGGGGAGATCTCAACTCAGGGTAGCTGGGGAATTATGCTGTATTATGGTAGGGATCATTTTAGTATGAGTAACTTGCTCCAGGTGAGTCTTTGGAATCATTGCAATCATATTCTCTGTTTAACAGAAAACTTCTAAAAATAAATCATAGAGTCATAAAACCATTGAGGCTGGAGAAGACCATTAAGATGACCGAGTCCAACTATTAATCAAATGTTTCCCTGTAAGTTTAAAAGTGGCCTATTTGATTACAGGACCATCAATTACTTCCAGCTCCAGACCAGAAGAAAAAGGTGAAGGCAAAATGAAAATGCTGCACATTTTTTCAGGTTAACCTAAGGGCACATTTCTTCAGAGTAAACACTTGAACTGCATGTGCTGGGAAGGGAGGTAAGAAAGGACAAATAGCTTTTGTGATGCAAGATCTCAGTCCTAAAATAGCTTACAAGCACTAGATATCTCTTAAAAACTTGAATAAAACTGTTCATGGTGCATAAGGTTAAACCTTGCAGGACGCTGGTGTGGCTGAGAGTCATATTTAAAATGAGATGTTTCAGTTAAAATTGAAGAGAATGGGGAGCTATTTAATTATCTGGATAGTGTATTTATCTTGGTTAGAAACACAGACTAATCTAATTTGATACCTAAAGCAAGACACCCGTATGACATCTCATTGCACTGCAGTCTGATGCGCCGGCCCCTTTGCTAATGCAAGCAGAGGGAGCTCCATGGAAATGAGAGGGTTGATTCCCATTTACCTCAGCAGAGTATGTTGAGCACTAAAGAGCAGAGAAAATACTTGCTTTCTGCCAATATTCCAGGAGGATTGAGGGAAATGTATGGTTCAGGGTGCTGCTTTTGCATAAGGTGTTCATGCTTTTGTAAACATTAAAAATAAACATTACTTTTTTCATGCTGTTTGAGTTTGCTTTTATACATTCTGTAGTATGTTTTTCCATGTCCCATCTTGCCTCAAGATTCCTGGTAATTTTAGTGTTGTGCAGATTGTGTGATGTAATCTATTTTCTCAAACCAGCAGTTTGAGAAAACCATTTTTTGTGACACATCCTCCTATTTAAGGTTACAGGGACTTCCTATTGTTTAATATTGTCCTCAAATAATAGTGGAGTGGCTTTGAAATCACCCTTAGGGAACTGACTGAAAATAGGTTTACCACTTAAACAAAAAAAAAAAAACAAACAAAACCCTAAGTTTCTTTATTTGGTCTTGAAATTGTTAACAGTTAGGAATACAATTACCCATGAAGTTTAGCTTTTGCTGGACACTGTGTGGTGTTAATGAAGTCTCTCATCCCAGACAATCTGGAGCACTTTTGGCATTAGGTGAAATTCGTGGTTACATGTGCTGGGTACAGTAAGTTCCTTCATTATCTGCCAAGTGTGATCTCTGTAATCAACCTTATAATATCAAGTTGCACCCATGTTGCACTCCTAGAACCTAAGTGAAAATAGCTACTCCAGATGACAAGTAGTAGAGAATCAAGTCTGCCATCATAGCAAAATATGGTGTGGTCAATTATGTCTTGCACAATTCTCAGCTATTGCTTCAATCCACTGCTTACATCCTCCCTGGAATCAGAAAATACACCAAGCGTTCAGAACAGGGTTTGTCCTTTAGATGATTAACACATGCTGGGGTAGGCTCTCTCTGCACACATCTTTCTCATAACTATTCTCCACTAGTAACTAAAAACAAGAATGTGGTCAAATCAGGTTTATCAGGTGATTGGATGGAATAGACTGGATCCTCTGATGTTCGATTTTC